TCAGTTATTACTACTTCACCCTTTCCTATTCCTTATTGTAAAAGACTTATTGTAGGAATAAATGTTCGATTATTACTACTCTACTTTTTCATACGTCATATCGTAAAAAAAATTAAATGTCTCAATATTTACTACTCAAAATTTCATACTCCCTCGATGAAGGAAGAGGCAGAAAAAGAAAGACACTATTTCAAAAGACTTAAGGCTTTAATTTCAGCCCCATAATAAATAAGGACAAACAAAGACACCGTTTTAAAATTATTTTAATTGCATGATAAATAGGAAGAAAAAAAAACCGTTTCAAAATTCTAAATCCAAAACTTCTAGCTTTTCAACTTTCACAATTTTAAAGGTAAAACCATCCTTCACCTATTTAATTTTTAGTGTTAGTCCCTCAACGATGAAGAATGGGAAAACCGTCCCAATCCTTTCACCCTCTTTTTATCTTTTGATCTCTAATTCTCTCTAATGTTTTTTTTTATTTTGATGCTGCTCTACTCTTTCCCCCAAAGAATTTTGATTAGATTATAGTTGTAATTATTTTAGTGAATTCGTTGAGTTTTGTATTTGATGATTTATTTTGATGTGTTTTTTTGAGTTTGATTCTCATGGAAAACTACTGAATTTGTTGTTGTTTGTTTTTATTCTCTAAATTTTTATTTTTTTTATATGATCAGAATTGCAAGCTTTAAATTACCTTTGTGATACTGATAAGTGCAATTAAATTTAATATAGTATGCATTTTTATTTATCAGTGTTGAATATATATCTCTCGTGTCTATTTCTTGAATATAGTCCTCTCTCTCTTTTTCGTTAGGAAGAAGAATGTTGAGGAAGTATTTGCTACGCCCTAATTGGATGCCTTATCCCGTGCTGAATATACGAAGATGCCAAATATGATAAGTTTTATAATTAAGTTTTTACATTTGCTGTGATGACAATTACTTCTTAGCTCCTCTACATTTAGATCTCTTTGGTTTTACTAAAGGATTTCTTTTTCCCGTTTTCTTTTTAACTTTTTCTCAATTTACTAGTATGGATGATGAAAACATTAAAATTGCAAGAAGCAAATTGTTGGGAATTCCATAGAAAATTGGAGAAGAAGATTAATAGAGATTTCTAGGCATAAAAATGGAAGTAAAGTTTATAGACTTATGGACAAACCGTAGGAAAGAGCGAGGGAACAAATGAATGAACAAATATAAAATAGAAGATTGAGGGGAAGTAACGAATTTTCTGTGATATATAAGAGATTATTTAGGGGGTGAAGAATTTTTATGGAGATATTACGAGATAGAAAGAAAGAAAAAAGAAGAGCATTGAAAGAAAGAAATCAAAATACCTATATTTAATATTAGACTAAGAGAATCACTATGTAGTAAAACTACACATACACATATTACATCTAAAAGTGACAATCTTATTTGAAAATATTTTTATATTTTTTTATTTATTAAGGAAAATATAATAATGAAAGACGAAATTCATCTAGGCTCTAATTCTAATAATCATATTTCATAGTTGTGATTTCATCAATATTTAGAATGAATGAATTTTTACATGAAATAATTTATCTCATTCTTTTTTACTCAACTTATAAAATAACATTTTTGAATTAACTAATAGATAAAATTAGTACTTCATATAGCATAAACTATACTTTTTAAATTTCAATTTATTAGGTAGTTACATTTGTTTTAGTGAGAGTATGAAAGGATTGAGTTTTTTTTTAAAACAACTCCATCAATAGGGTGTTCTGGTGATTATGAATTTTGCTTGTCTAGCTCTTTAGATAATAGTCTAATATCTAATGGCAATGTCGGCTCTCTTCGAATAATAGTCTAATATCTATTGGTAATTTCTTTTGAAGGTACGAAACTTTATGTTTGGTTGGTGTTTGATTTCATGTATTTGCATTAAAAAAAAAAAATTCCACATCAGGTGTTTGCGCAGTATATCTATTAAGCCTTCTTTGCCAACATTTTTTTCGTTCACTCTCATTAAAAGTAACATTCCTATCATTAATGTTTATTAAGAGTAATATGTATTGATACATGCCATTTATTCTAAGGCCACAAAGGAATACAATATACAAAGCATGATGCGAGCTAGGGAGCCAAAGCCATAATTTTGTATTAACCAATAAGTTGGATCACGTTGACAACACCCTTTGACAAAACAAAGTTTTTTGTGGAGAAGATATACTTCAAAGATTATTGAGAGTGTATTGATATTAAACGATTCGATGTCTTGTACATATATATAGCCTTGATCTATAGAGATGATGTGACTTCTCTCCTAAGCTAAGTAATGTATTTATCTTTTCTCTCTTCTTCTAAATCTTTTATTCTTATTTTCTTAATTGAAGGTTAATCGTATTCCTATCGTATTTATTGAATTTATTAAATATTAATGATAAATTATTTAATTTCATCAGCTATAAAAAGTTCTTTGGTTTATTTATTATTCAAAACATATTTCAATAATCTCAAGTANATATATATATATATATATATTGCTACACTTCGCCCACCATTAAATCCAAACCCACCATCAATACCCATTTCAAAAGATCTTCGAAGAAGAAGAAGAAGAGATGTACAAAATTAAATATATAGAGCTTGACCATAACATGTCACATCCTCACAAAAATTACCATACCACCAACATACACCATCATCAACGTGTAGAACTTAGCTAAAAATCTCACCTCTTCTACTATCACCCCATCATCAATTATCGTAGGATTAATCGTAGAATTTTTCTTAAGACTTAAATTGAAATTTCGATAACTTTTTTACGTTTGCGTATACTTTACCCTCCCTAGACCTCCATAATTATGGGATTACACTGAGTGTGTTATTGTTGTTATTGTTATTGATAACGTTTTTTTAGGTACTTAGACAAAACTCCCCAAATATACTCATACAAAGAGAGGAAAGAGATCAAACAAAAATAGTTAAACCGACAAATATAACCAACAAACAAAGAGAAAAAATAATTAAATAAAAATAGCTGATAGATAAATATTATTTAAGTCTAATAAGTGGCTATGTAAAATCACATACTATTTTAGGAAAAGGTAAGAAATAAATTTAAATAGTACTAAAAAAGTAAAAGTAATAAGAGAGAGGAAAAGTGTTAGAATTCAAAGAATTGAAGAAAAAAGGTAAATAAATATGGAAAAAGGTAAAAAGTCAAGTGGGATACGTGAGAAAGAGAAAACAATTTGGTATTGGGAAGAAAAAATAAAAAAGTTGTACCAAAATTTACTTGTCTTTTATCCGTTGGTTTTATTGGACGAGGCTATAATTTGATATTAATTTTATCCGATTAGACATTTTGGGTTACGTGCAAAACTTTGGGCTAATAATTTTTTTCGCCGGCCATACAAGGTAGTTTTCTCTTTAAAAAAACTCACCGAAGCATACTAGCGAGACATAAGTATCGTGGGTTGTAAGCCCCAACGTTCTGGGCGTTCATTTTGAGGTATAAGCCCCGAGAATATTAATTTGAACCAAAATCGCTTAAGAAATTCTCTTTTTTTTTATATATATATTTAAATATTCAAAAGTTAACTTATTGTAAATTTTCAAACTAAAAATCTCAAAAATCAAACGTTTTTTTCTAATTGTTTATCCTAATTACATAAACGTTTCTCTTCGTCATTTACTGAATAACAAATATACTTTAAATCTTTGTCTATCAAAAGACAAACTACAAAGCAAAAAGTTGTCTTTCAATTCTTTATTTACTTTCACACTTGAATTTTCCTTCTTTATGCTTCATTTTCTTCAATTTCTTTAATTTATTCTTTTTAAGTTAGTTTTTAGTTTTAAAATTTCTTTTGATATCGCTCTAGTTTGGATATTATTTTGAAGATTTTAGTCATGTTATAGGTATAATGCATCTTTATGTCTTTTATTTTTCAAGTAAAAAAACATATTCTTTGTAGGGTTTGTACAAATGTTAGCATGTTTATAATATATACGTACATTTTCCTACTAATTTTATATTTCTTTTTTGAATTTTTTATATATTTTATTTATACATAAAATATTAAAATTATGCCCGCGCCTCAAGAATTACGCCTTGCCCAATATTAATAAAACGTCTTGTCTCACCCTCACTCACTCTGTTTTGGCCGCAACCTAAAAGTGTCTATCTGTTTTAGAACTAACTTACATCACCGAACCTATTTTGGAGAAATTAATTATGGGGATGTGGAAAAATAACATCTTTATTTGCATGTAATCAACGGTAAGAGTAAAAGTAATTTATCATATCCCCCACCCCAAACCTCCACTTTATCATTATTTTATGATTATCTGCTTTCTCTATAGTTATTAACAAACAAAAGAATTCCTAGAGTAAAAACCAAGTCTATTTTGACTAGTATCCGATCGATTAGAAATCTGGCCAACTCCATCACATTACTAAAGCATCATTGGTCGTACTTTATACGACAAAGTTATATTGCATATTATTATCATCTATTATTGTCGGGTTGGGAAGCAGTGACGAATCTAAAGGGTCTATTATTAGTTTACGTGAATCTGGTAACTTTTACTTCTTATTACTGTAGTATTAATTTGAGGTTGTCTTAAGAAACCTTAAATCTCTCTCCCCCGAGGGATCATCCATACTCTTTTGCTATTGATCAAGGCACTGATGCATCATTTTCAACATTTGAAGAATCACCAGTTCAAGCTAGAAAATATCTTAAATGTGATAAGTTTTTAATATCGAACTTTACATTTTATTGATTTAATAAGATGGCCTCCTAACTTGATACTTTCTGAACTTTTGGTATTATTAAAGTTTCTCACCTAGCTGATCTACTTTATTCCTTATCTGGTTAATTGAAGATAGGCTGCAACTGGAATATCATTTGGCAGCCAATTTTATCTGCAACTAATTGCAGGGATATAATTTTTTTCACTGCACTGATATACTTGTGTACACCTATGCTCTGTGCTAAAGGAAGAAATTGTGGCCGATTAAATCACAATAAAATCTATAACGTAATCTTTAAAATCCATATCATTCTGGTGTGGAGGTTCTCCTTTCTGGGTTGGAAGGAAAATTAGTTCTCGAACTATACAAGTTAGAAATGTCTTGTTCTTTGTACAGTTATTCAGCATTCAATTGTGGTTTCAAATTGAATCTGGAAGCCTGTTCTTCAATCGGTATGTTGTTGCACAACTAATATTGTGGAAATACTTTCAGAATCTGCTAAAGCAAACATGTCTCCTACTGGCCCTAACTCAGACTCTTCAACCCAATCAGAAAGGCCAAGTAGTAATGGAGATTGTGTGTCATGACGTCTGCCAACAATGATTAGTTCATATTCGTCCTCCATTGATCGCATAACAGCAGCTGTCCCTGTTCCATCCCGTATCATCTTTTCTACATACTTGACCCGATAATTTCCTGCCATACCACTTCTTGCTTCACTTACCATTTCATTATCCATCGTCTTCTGTATTGTGTCATAATCAGTCGTTGCTATTTTACCGCCTTCTTCTTGCTGAAGGAGCAATCGGACTATTGTGAGGCTGATGTTTCGTTTTCCAGCCATGCGTTCTCCCAGAGCGAGTGCTTCCCTATCATCTGGTCCTCCCAAGAAAAGTACAGCAACACGATACGAAGACCAAGCATCTAGTATGGGCCTTGAGGTGTTCACAAGTGACCGGTCTACAATTACTGCAACGGAACAAGGTGCTGTCTGCAGGATTTTTTCATTCATAATTTTAATACCTACCTTGGATACTGTCTTCCTGCTGGAACTAAACCTTTTGTGGAAAGGAATCATTATGAGAGATGCCCTCCTTTCAAGCGCCATGTTGCAGACTTCGTCATGCATCATAACATAAGGAGATATAGCCGTAAAGGGATGCATGGCTACTGTCTCACGGAAGTTCTGCTCAAACACTTTGAAGGCATTGATGATTCTTTTCGAAGCTGAGGCCTCGTTTACGTGCTTCATCATTGGGAGTTTGTGGTTTATGAGAAGCGGATGAGCACGGCCAACAAGCTCTATTAAATGTAGCATGGCAATATCCATGTGGCTTTGGTTTGAGGGGTGAAGTGCTTCCAGCAAGTTTATTGTGGCTGGAACATTTTCTTGATCATGTATACATGCAAGAACCCGAAGTTCAGAGTGGGCCTTCAAATGCTGGACATTCCGATTTTTGTGTGCTGCATATCTTTTGTGTGGATCATACAGGGATTTCAGTATTGGAGTAACGATAGCAGTTGCAATGAACAGGTTTATGCACAAGACAACAAAAGCTTCATCTGCTATTGCCTGTGTTCGACGAAAACCAATTCACAGGTATATATCAAAATGTGAATTAATGCATGAGCGAGTTAAATATATTTTTGCAACTATATATAGTTTACCTCATTTTGCTTCATCATTTTAAACATGCCTAGCTCCAGAACACCTTGGACGTTGGTTACGAGGCCAATTGAGATTGCATCTCGGAGTGAAACTTGGTTGCAAATTGAAGAGATAAGTGCTCCAAGGAATTTCCCCAAACAAGCAACGAGAATAACTGATTGCAGAAGCAAATAATTCCTGAGTTTCACAGAAAATATATCAGTAACCAACCCAGTTTTGACGAAGTAGATGGGCATAAACAGCCAAGAAACGATGAAATGAAGCTTCTCCACCAGGGCAGAACCTAGGGGAGGTCCAGCTGGTATGGCTAGACCGTAAATTAATGGCCCATAGAAGATGTGTAGGCCTAGAGCCTTGCTGCAAAATCCAGACAGCAAGACGCCTATAAATATCATACAAATGAAACCTTGCTTTAATGGCTCCCCCGGAGGATTTCTTCGCGTTCCCCATATTATTAGGGGTCTCACACCAAAAAATATAACCATAGTAAAGCCAATACCAGCTGTGATGTTTTGGAGAATGATGAATTTCTCGAGAGAGGGTTGACTTGACAGGCTGGTGATAGTTATGATTAAAAACCCAAACATATTGCTGACAAGGGAACACGACATTGCCATCCTTCCAAAATCTGAATTGACCATCCTAAGCTCAGTGAGATAGTGAGCGATGACTGGGAAGCCAAGCACCGATGACATGGTTGCTACTACGGGGAGTGAGTCCGACACTAATGGCTCAACATTTATTTCAATGCTGAGCAGAATGAAAGAGGTGGTGATGCTTAGTACAATAGAAGCCGCCACAGTTGATACACCAATGATGAACGCCTTCTTCTCAACTCTCTTCAGGATCCAAGGATCTATTTGTACTCCAATCAAGAAGAAGTAGAACATATACCCAAATAGAGCAACCGCATCGATGAGTACCAGACTTCTGTAAGGATAAAAAAGCTCTATGAATCCACCAATCCGTCCAACAAACGACGGACCTAGTGCTATACCACCCTGCAGCGAAAGCAAACATCTTACAATGTGCTGTAATTGGGATCCTAGTGCTTAGATATTTAAGCCTAGGATATGCATGCATGTGATTTCATTCAGGCTAATTTACAAGATGATAATTAAATACTTATCAAAATGGCTGGACTTAGAATATTTTTGCACGAAATTTGAGCTAATCAAACTGATTCTACCTCCCATAGTTTGCTGGGAGTTATGGAGATCAAAATATGCTGGCAAACAGTGGCGGAAGCAAGATTTTACCAAAGGGATTCAAAAAAAAATAAAAAATAAACATGCAAAGAAGCTAAGGGGATTCAGCATCTAATATATATCCATGAAAAAAAAATTAATTTTCGGCGAAGGGGGTTCGGCTCCTACTAAAGTAAAGGAAGGGAAGAATTGGTCTGAACCTCTTTCTTCTCTTCTTATGATTGTTCTGTGATGGGTTTTATCCTTTTAGGATTAGGTTTCATTAACCCTTCCGCTTGTAGACAGACAGAAAGCAAAAAGAGAGCCCGAGGTGCTGACCCGCAGCGAGGCAGGCCCGTCTATCCCGATCGGGTGATATAGAACTGAGAGAAACCATATGCTATCACGCCTGTATCAATCTCTGATTATTTTCACTATCACAGATTTCAAGGGCACTTCAGCACATCAAATGGGAAACCATACTTCGGATCCTAGCCCAATCAATACACAAGTTTATCATGATCAAATGGTTTAAATCACCATGCCTGGTGGTTAAATTAAAAACTGATGGAAGCTGCAAAGAAGGGGGACTATAGAGCAGGCACTAGCAATTGGGCTGAAGCAAAGGGTATTTTGCTGGGATCAAGAAAATGGCTAGAAATGGATATGTAAAGATCATTGCTGAAACTGATTCTATGGTACTCACTACATGTGTTTTGCAACAAGGAGATCCACCATGGAGGATGATGAGTACACTGGAAGCTATCAGACAAATTAATTAATAGAAGAGCGCAAGGGATAGTTGTCAAGCAATATTGCTATAGAGAGGCTAATGAAGTGTTAGATAAACTAGCTTCTCTCAGCCATGCTTATTGCCAGCCCACTGACTTTACCAACTTCGGGCAACTATCTGGCAAGTTGAAGGCTTTCACCAACTAGTCAAATGGCAAATGGCACCACTCAAAGTTTGAAAATTCATAAGAATAAGAATTATGTTTTGACCATCGTTGAGCCTAGGGGCGAAGCTATGTGCGGCCAAGGGTGGTCAACTGAACACCCTTCGTCCAAAACTTATACTCACTCCGTTCTAATTTATGTGAACCTATTTCCTTTTTGGTCCGTTCCAAAAAGAATGACCCCTTTCTAAATTTGGAAACAATTTAGCTTAAACTTCCAATTCTACCCTTAACGAGAAGCTTTTATAACCACACAAATACCCTGGACCCCTTTTTGACTTGTTTAGAACCACAAATTCTAAAAGTCTTTATTTTTTCTTAAACTCTGTGCTCAGTCAAACAGGTTCACATAAATTGGAACGGAGGGAATACTATGTACAAGATAAAATATTACTTGTTATTGATACCCTAGCATAGCCCACTAGTCCCTTATTGAACACACTTATTGAATTTTCTGGCTTCGCCACGGCTTTGAACCAGCAAACTTTATAGCAGTAATTTTGGGGTGATAGAGCCTAACAACTATACTACAGAGCACTTGCACATGTACTTAGCTTATTTTGTACACAGAGTTTGGGATGCCAAACTATCATAGAATATGAAAAGGTCAAATAATAGAAAAAAAACAAGGAACTTACAAATATTTGGATGACATTGGTAGGTTGGCCGAGGGGTTTGAGGAGGGTAGAAGTCAAGAGAACGAAAAGGGAGGCCAGGGAAAGCTGAGCCAGAAGGAGAGGAACTGAGTAATCTAATGGGTTTGCATGGTGGAAAAAGATTGACCCTTTGGATTGAATCTTGCCGATTGACATGCAAATGGAGGAATGATTTTCTCCACCAGCTTTAAATATTTCAGCATACGTCGCTATGTCATCCGGTTCCATTACGTGCGAACCCATTTCAAACCTCAGATCCCTTTATTTCCTCAAATCTTTGTCTTCTTTACGCTGGCCTCCCTTTCTGCATCATCCTCTCCTGCATATGGAGAGGAACAAGAAATGTCGATGACCAAGAATAGCAAGTCTTTGACAGTTTAAAGCTATGGTCAAAATCCAATATGGCTCCTATTTTTTCGCCAAATTAAGGACTTATAAAAAGAGTAAACAAATAAAGGGTACAAAGGAAAATGTTTGGTTAGGTAATAGAACATATTTTTGAAAATATATTATTAAGACAAATACTAAATGAGACGATATGGGTAAGGGGCGGAGGGTAGTAGGTCCAAGTCCAGGGGTCGGAGTGACGGTAGAGATGTTAAGGGGATGGGTGGCGGGGATGGGGGTAGGGGTGAGTGGGGCGAGGCGGGAGGTGGAGGTGTAGAATAAGATGGGGTAGGTTGAGAAAAGATTTTAGAAAATATTTTTCTTCCTTTTGATTTAAATTGGATGAAAATTAGTCCACGAAAAAAATATTTAAGCAAACAGGAGAAAATTTTAAAATATTTTCACCAAACACACCCAAAATGTATGCATAAACTAAAGTAAATTTATTTAGATGAATCTGTGTCCAAACTCTACATCAACTCATGATCATAATACAATACAAGTATTAGTAACTGATTTACCCAAAAAAAAAAAAAGTGGGGGTTAATGTTCGGATTTGGAAATATGAATGCAAATCAATCAATTGGAGCGACTGGGATGTTAGTGCATGTGGAGGAAAGACGAGCTTTGATAAAAAGACAGAGCAGATCATTTTACATCTGGCACACAGTACTCACCCAACCCAACCCTAGCCTAGTTTGCTTACACTGCTACTATCTCATAGCTGCTAGTTTCTTCATCCATGGCGGATTGTAATTCCGTCCTCATAGCTGCAGTTTTAGCTCTATTATTGACGATCGCCAGCTCCGAGGGACCATTCATTGTGGCACACAAGAAGGCCACTCTTACTCGCCTCAAATCCGGTGCCGAACGACTCTTTATCTCCATTGATATCTATAATAAAGGATCTGCGTACGTTTTCATCTCTTTTCCCCCAGATCCCACTTGTTTCTCTTCTGGTTACTACTTTTATTGCCAAATTGACATAACAGAGGAGGATGAGGGAAAATGACTGCAGAGGAAAGGGGTTTTTTTGCCGTTTGTAAGAGGTAGATGAGGTAAAGAGAAGTTGAGGGATCCAAGTCAGCTGTTTAAGCCCCTTGAGTAGTTGCAAGCATAAGATCTTTTATTAGTGAAAACATTGTTAATTCTCTGAAAATTAACCACTAATGATATTTGGTCAATTAAATCTTTCCTACCTTGTTAACATTTTTTATCTCAAACTTGTGTGTGCATGCTTTTACCTGCCTTAAATTTAATACTGCTTTAGCAAGGCTATTTTCTGAATCTTCCCTTTCTTGTGTCTATCCACCATTAGATCTCGGAGATTTGGTGATGCTATTTCTATGAAATGGATTCTTTGTGTTCTTTCTTTATTTTTTTTGTAAAAAACAATGTGTTGCTGATCTTTTGATACGAATAAGCTCTTATTTGTTCAGGACGGCATATGATCTAAACCTTAATGATAGCTGGTCTCAAAATGTGTTTGACATTGTCGCTGGCAACACATCCATGTCATGGGAAAGGCTGGATGCGTGAGTTCTCATATTATTTGTGGTATCTGACAATTAAGTATCTTTAAATTTATCTCTTTATCATACTTGATTATCTGATGTCACGGGAACTGTTCTCTCGCATTCCTTTTGTCACACCTCCTTTTCCCCGAGGAATAGGGGACAGGGAATTTTTTTTAATTTAAGTGACATTATTCGAAATGAGATTATTTATTTATTTAGAGTCGCCGCTTGGAATAATTTATGGTGTCCCAAGTCACCGATTTATTTTAGAATCCCAAATCGAGGAAATCTGGCTCTTATTTTTGGTCCGCGAACACAGAAGACCGGGTAAGGAATTCTGTTAACCTGGGAGAAGGTGTGAGGCACTCCCGAGTTCCGTGGTTTTAGCACGTCACTTAACAATTAATACTTGGCGTAATTATCTGATTTATTACATGTTTTAAAACTATATGTGCATTTTTATTCCTTTTACCGATTTTATTACATTACTGCATTTTAAACTTTTATGGAATTATTATGAGACGAGTTACGTTGTCGTACACTCGTTGTTTATCCACATCGCAAATCGCGTCACGTGAAACGCACCCGCAATCTACAACGTGTTTAATTTTATTTATTATTGTTTGAAGTTGTGGTCGAATCACGTGAAACGCACACTCGAACTGGGGTTTACGTATTATGACTATGCCACAGGAACCGTACCCATAGTCACGATGATTTATTATTAATCGCGCCTAAATCAAGCTACGGTGTTCGAATATTATTCAATTACTAATTTTGACATTATTGTAAGGTCATGATGTATGTATATTGTTATGCAGGAAATGAAGTAAATTAATTATGGAAAAAGTTGGCTAGCTTGTGAATGTTTATTTGTTTTTGGTCATGTGCAACAATTAGCCCATAAATACGCTAGGGAAGTCCAATTAAAGTCTTACACCAATCATGGCCCAACCTAATCTCTTGTAATTTTACTGCTAACCAATATTTGAAATTAGACTAAATTTATGGCAGGAAAAGATAGATACAGACATGACCAATTTAGTCACTAAGATAGGAGATCAAAATGAAACTAAAGCATGCTAAAATGGAAAGCCATTACTTCATTGAATAAACAAGAAAAGTAACGAATTAATACATATTCATCAATAAAATTAACCATATGAACTACTAAAAAGGACAATAAATTAATCTTAACAAATACTCAACATGAGAACAAATTAATCTTAGCACACTCAGATGCGAACTCGATCATATCATACTCAAAGTTAAATTAAAACAGAGTGACCCAAAACATTAATGAGAAAAAAAAATAGAAAGAGAAGTGAACCTTTGTATTGATGATTGTGGATTTAAATTACAACCACTCAATGATCGGATAACTCTCAACTGGACCCTTCGGACCACGGAAAACTCGAGCGGCAAATCTCAACTTGCAACCTCAATCGACCTTGCAAAACTCACGATTTAGTGGCTATTTTTGGAGCTTTTTTTTTGTTGGGGAGGGGGGGTTAATGATTGGTCAAAAGTGGTCAAGGGCTGGTGGTTTTGGAGTGGTGAAGCTGCTGTATTTTTCGAAAGAATGACACGAGTAAAAATTTTCTTATTTTAGAAGAAGAAAAATATTTTTTTCTCAATTCCTTCCTCCCTATTTTTTCCTTTCTCTCTCTCTCTCTCTCTCTCTCTCCCTTTTTTATCACATTTCTCTTCTATTTATATAAAAATAAATTCGGAATTTTCAGATTTTTATTTTTTATTTTTTATTTATTTTTTATTTTTAATTAAAAAGAATTTTCACTTCCCATTTTTCTTATTTTTAAAAAAAAAAATAATTCCCCACTTTTCTTTACTTTTATTTTTTAATTTCTCACTTTTTTACTTTTAATCTATTTAAAATCCCACTTTTTTACTTTTTTTTTTATTTTCCACTTATTTTACTTTTCTATTTTTATTTCCCACTTACTTTTACTTTTTTTTTTAAAATAAATCAGATATCCTTACTTTTATTTTTTGATTCCAACTTTATTTTACTTTTCATTTTTTAAAATTTTCACATTCTTTTACTTTTATTTTTTTAATTTTCCACTTTCTTTTACTTTTTTTATTAAACAATCTCTACCTACTTTTACTTTTTAATTTTATATTTCTACTCTTCCTATTTTGTAATTCCCATCCGAAATTTGTTTTTTTTTAAAAAAATAATAATTAATTTTTATTTATTTTCGATTTTTAATTCATTTTATTAAAAATAAAGATAAAAATAATACTAATAGTAATATTTACATAGTAGAAGGTGATAAAAATTTAAATATAGTCAAAAATTAGGTGCTCACAGCTACTGCCCCTCTTTGCTTGGAAATATGAAGAGTTTTCAGGCAAAGACTAGGTGAGCCACGTGACTAATTTTTGACCAACCCATTATTCAAAAGGAAAAGAAATAAAAGATAGGGTGCAACCGAGTCCTGGTTTTGGACAGCCTACATATCCTGGGTTATAGGGGAATCAGGTCGTGTGTAGTTCAAAGAGAATGGTGGAATGATGAGTTGAAGAGTCGAGTGAGGTTCCGTCGAGGCTCCGGTCCGCGGTCCTGCTATTATATCACACAAAAAAAAAAAAAACTAAACAAGCCTATCAATTATGAGTTACAAGATTCCTATCTATGAGTCTTCAGAAACTTGTTCTTGAGTCTTGACTGGTTCTTCATGCAGACTCTGATCTAAACGTTGATGCTCGCTAGCTATAGGTTCTAGTTCATTGTTCTATAGCTTCGTCTAATCAAAACGGGACTCCAATGCTCGTGGCTTCAGTCATGTCTTAGCATTCCACATCTTTTTTTATTGCTTTTGCATTTTGGATTCACTTATTTTCTTCTTTTCTTTTATTCTGAATTGAAACTTCTTCTTTTGGTCATCTCGAACCTTATGCCTCGAGGTAAAACCTACTCAGACACCAAAATAAACAATCGAACAAAATTTTTCTGCCCCAATTTGCACTAGAAAAATTTTGTGAGTTATTGTAACAAAATTCTAAACTACTTCTTTATTGAAAGCAATAAAAGGTCGGGAGTGGTGTACCCTGAAAATGTCATGTTTTTTTTTTTGGATTGTGTTCTTTTATTGTCAAAAGGATGTCTCAACTAAGGATTGGTGTACCTTATGTTGGAAAAATGTGTCCAGGGAATGGGATACCCTATATTGGCAAAGATATCGGGGAATGGTGTACCCTGCTTTTAAGATCAAATCAACTAGGGAGTGGAGACTCTATGTTAGAAAAAGCGACTAGGTAGTGGAGACCCTATGTCAAAAATAAAATCAACTAGGGAGTGGAGACCCTATATTGGAAAAGACGACTATGGAGTGGAGCCCCTATGTCTAAAAATATCAACTAGGGAGTGGATACCCTATGTTGGAAAATCGACTAGGGAGTAGAAACCCTATGTCTAAAAACATCAACTAGGGAGTGGAGACCTTATGTTGGAAACGAAACTAGGGAGT